TATATTAAAGAGGTTTAAGCCAAATTGAAGATATGTCATAATTGTCATACTTTTATTGTTGTTATGAGTACATACTATCAGAATTACGAAAAATAAAAAAATAAAACGGGTCATTGGATGATTTTTTGAGAGTACAAAATTGTCATTTTTATACTGGTTTCTATGGTTATTATTTATCCATAATTTTGCTTGATGAGATCGAATAAAAAAATCATATATATCATTATTAATATAAAATTTAACAAAAGTTTATATTTTGTGAGTTATCTCCCATAATGCATTGCTTATATGTGCCTTACAAATTGTCTAAAACTATAAACACACCTTTATCTCCCTCCTGTTCTGGCTTCATTATGTCAGTACCGGTAGTTTCCATGGTTACCATTGCCTCACTGTTCACACCATCTACGTTTGACAATGTTTCCATAGCGATATTCATCAGTTCTCTTTCCAAAAATGATATTTTTAACCTAAACCAAACAAAAAAACATACACAGCCATTATAAGCGATACACCATAAATAATTTTTCAAGTGTTTTTGGCATTTTGAAATGAAATTAATCATTGAGATTAAGCTTTCAATAAATTTGATATAGAGAAGCAGATAGAAACATAGTAAAAAAAATGGCTGCCAGCTAGCCATCTTGAATTCGATCTTGAAAAAAAAACACATACATTTGCATGACCAAAAAAAAAAACAGATGAAAAAAAACACGACAAATATGCATGATCACTAAAACCATTAAAAAAATTGTAAATATGTGAATAAAATGGTGTATTATGGTGTGTTGAAATTTTTAAATACAGAATTCTTTGCTATCTTATTCAAAACCATAATTGTTTGAATGCCTATATTGAGTACTAGGTAGTAATTTGTTCATATAAGTATCATGTACATGGCAGACTTATCAAAAACATTAATCTGGTGATTTTCAAGAGTTTACAGTGAGTTTTAATAATTAAGTCTAGGTAAATGTGTCCCAACTATTTTAAGAATCTGTTATTCAAATATTCACAACTTGAAGGGCGATGGACGTCGCACCAAGCATGTGCGAGATATGGGTCTCATAAGACGGCGATTTTGACCATCGAATACCAAACCAAGCTTTAATTAGGTGATTTTTTTGTGACTGGAAGGTAACGAAGAGTCACCTGTGGTAATTAGTGCTAGTCGCACCCAAGCCAAAACTCGGGCTGTGATTTTATTAGAAGAGCACACTGGATTGTAGGAAAATCAATGTTTATCAAGAAAAAAGGAAGCACATGTGCAGCGTGACGACTACCGTCTTTTAAGTGTTTTTCTGCCCAATAATTCACTACTTGTTAACTCATTTTATAGGCTATTATTTAATTACTCAGGACTCATTGTGAATCAGTGATGTGAATTTTATCTGGGTGGCATGAACAGAGTAGATTTGATA